TTATTTAATAAATGTATGGAAGAGGGTAAGGTACCTAGGGAATGGGAGAGAGCATGCATAGTTCCTTTGTATAAAGGCAAAGGGGATAAAAGAGAGTGCAAAAATTATAGGGGATAAGTCTGTTGAGTGTACCTGGTAAAGTGTATGGTAGAGTTATAATGAAAGAATTAAGAGTAAGACGGAGAATAAATAGCAGATGAACAAGGAGGCTTTAGGAAAGGTAGGGGTGTGTTGACCAGGTGTTTACAGTGAAACATATAATTTAACAGTATTTAGATAAGGCTAAAGAGGTCTTTGTGGCATTTAAAGGATTGGAAAAGGCGTATGACAGGGTGGAAGGTGGGCAATGTGGCAGATGTTGCAAGTGTATGGTGTAGGAGGTAGGTTACTGAAAGCAGTGAAGAGTTTTTTTCGAGGATAGTGGGGGCTCAAGTTAGAGTATGTAGAAAGAGGGAAAAATTTTTTCCCTGTAAAAGTAGCCTTAGACAAGGATGTGTGATGTCACCGTGGTTGTTAATATATTTATAGATGGGGTTGTAAAGAGAAGTAAATGCGAGGGGCTTGGCAAAGGCGTGGAGTAAAAGATAAAGAATCACACACAAAGTGGGAGTTGTCACACTGCTCTTTGCTGATGACACTGTGCTCTTGGGAGATTCTGAAGAGAAGTTGCAGAGATTGGTGGATGAATTTGGTAGGGTGTGCAAAAGAAGAAAATTAAAGGTGAATACAGGAAAGAGTAAGGTTATGAGGATAACAAAAATATTAGGTGATGAAAGATTGAATATCAGATTGGAGGGAGAGAGTATGGAGGAGGTGAACGTATTCAGATATTTGGGAGTGGACGTGTCAGCGGATGGGTCTATGAAAGATGAGGTGAATCATAGAATTGATGAGGGAAAAAGAGTGAGTGGTGCACTTAGGAGTCTGTGGAGACAAAGAACTTTGTCCTTGGAGGCAAAGAGGGGAATGTATGAGAGTATAGTTTTACCAACGTCTTATATGGGTGTGAAGCGTGGGTGATGAATGTTGCAGCGAGGAGAAGGCTGGAGGCAGTGGAGATGTCATGTCTGAGGGCAATGTGTGGTGTGAATATAATGCAGAGAATTCGTAGTTTGGAAGTTAGGAGGAGGTGCGGGATTACCAAAACTGTTGTCCAGAGGGCTGAGGAAGGGTTGTTGAGGTGGTTCGGACATGTAGAGAGAATGGAGCGAAACAGAATGACTTCAAGAGTGTATCAGTCTGTAGTGGAAGGAAGGCGGGGTAGGGGTCGGCCTAGGAAAGGTTGGAGGGAGGGGGTAAAGGAGGTTTTTGTGTGCGAGGGGCTTGGACTTCCAGGAGGCATGCATGAGCGTGTTTGATAGGAGTGAATGGAGACAAATGGTTTTTAATACTTGACGTGCTGTTGGAGTGTGAGCAAAGTAACATTTATGAAGGGATTCAGGGAAACCGGCAGGCCGGACTTGAGTCCTGGAGATGGGAAGTACAGTGCCTGCACTCTGAAGGAGGGGTGTTAATGTTGCAGTTTAAAAACTGTAGTGTAAAGCACCCTTCTGGCAAGACAGTGATGGAGTGAATGATGGTGAAAGTTTTTTCTTTTTCGGGCCACCCTGCCTTGGTGGGAATCGGCCAGTGTGATAATAAAAAAAAAAATAATAAATAATTTATGGTTGTATTCTCATTTTCTTGGTCTCATTTGATAGAATGGAAGATGCATTAGAGACAGAGATGATTTTGATTGGTTTCATGATGAAAAGTACATACCTTGAAATTGAGCTCAAAGTAGCGGAAATGTTCGACTTTTGCCGATGTTCAAGAGTAAACAAATGACGTCGCTGTCCAATAAGTGTCCAACTGGCTGGCCTAATACGTAGTCACGAATGGGTCGACATTATTTATATATCATTACAATAATGCAGTAGTCTGCATAACAGGAAATCTTCTATTTTCTGTGTGAATTAAAATTCAAAATAGAAAGCAAGAGTAATATAGAGAGGCCTGGAGACGTGACTAATGAGCAGCAAAAATGTTATTTTAGTGCAAGGAATGTCCGCATTGTTTATTCTGGACCCTATTTTGAAATTGGCATCTGTTTTAATTTGCGTGAAACTGGCCAAATTGCCAATTTCTGACCATTTTATTGGGCAGCTGAAATCGGTGAATAGGCAGTTTCTTGTACTGAATCAATAGAACAAATGGAGTTATAAAGAAATAGCTATGAGTTAGGTCGACTGGAACAATGGAATTGGCCAAATGTAGGGCTCAAAGTGGGCGAAATCGCCGATGTGTATATATCAACTAACTTCGTGAGAGCGTAATTCCGTAAGTTTTCCTTCAAATTTCATACTTTTGGTGTCATTACCATTAGGAAAAGATTCTCTATCATTTTATAAGATTTTTGTTTTTTAATATTTTGCGACAGTGATACACTTCAGGATTTGGGGTTGCGACAGTCAAAGGGTTAAGGATCGGGGGTCTCAACACTTAAAGGGTTAAACAGTACAGGTGATTCTCCACTTACGATGGTTCCACTTACAATATTTCAACTTTATGGTGGTGCAATTACTTTGGAGATGAAACTTAGATAATTATCCATTTATTTACTGTTCAATACAGTGAACCCCCGCTGTTCAGCGGCCGCGACGTACGTAAATTCCGACTTTCAGCAACTTTTTTTCAGCAAAATATAGCCTTGTTGTTCATGACTGGTCTCGTGATTCGGCAACCGTCTGGTACGCATCCGACAGCATCCCACTGTCAGCGCACACACAATGCCAGTCTCCCGCACCATTCACACTCAGTGTACCATGGTTTATCAGTGAGTGACCACCCCACAGGTATATACGATACATTTGATAATAATCCATTGCTTTTTGTGCTTGCAACTGCTAAATAAGCCACCATGGGCCCAAAGAAAGCTCCTAGTGCCAGCCCTTCGGTAAAGAAGGAAAGAAACAATAGAATTCAAGAAAAATACTCGTAGCAAAGTACCAGAGTGGAGGAGGAAGAGAGAGGGGAGAATGTGCCTTCTTCAGCAATTCTACGACATGTATGATACTAAAGCAGCAGGTATCGATAAAAGCTATAGTGCCAGCCAGCAATAAAGTGTAGAATTAACAGTGTAGCAAGTATGTTAAGTGATTAAGCGATAGAGAAACAACATGCAAGTAACTCTCCAATGTTGTTGGAGGTGTATAGGGCCACTGAACATATGCTGCCCTGCTATCTTCCACCACCCTAAACCTCTACCAGCATCTCCTCCAACAAACTAATTAAACTAACACTTCCTCCAAGATAAGTGTAAATATTTCTTATTTATAAATTAAAATGTAAATATTTCTTGTTTATAAATTACGTACTTACATTGTTTCAGTGTGAATAGAGGTGGTGGTTTCTGCCACCTCCACCACCAATATGTATGGCTTCTCTCAGTGGCCCTTATAAACCCAAAAACAACACTTCCACCACCTGCTCCTCACATACATTATGACATATTTTATTCATTCTAAAGTATATATCATGTTTCTGTGTTATTAATATTGTTTATTATGTCATAATAGATGAATTGTGATAGACAAATAAGCCGTAGAGATACAGTGGTCCCTCGTTTTTCGTAATTAATTCGTTCCTGGAGCCGTTACTATAAACAAAATTTACGATTTGCGAATCAATTTTCCCCATAAGAAATAATGTAAATACAATTAATCCGTTCCTGACACCCAGAAGTATTAAAACAAAAAAATTTTTTACATGAAATATACATATAGTACATAATACAATGGGAAATGATGAATGAAACATTAGCAGCGTAACACTTACCTTTATTGGAGATTCTTCTTAGTGTATGGGAGACTGGAGGAGGAGAGAGATTGGATTGTTTACAGTTTGGAAGGGGAATCCCCTTCCAGCAACACCTCAGGTACCAATTGCTTCTCTGGGGTTACTTCTCTTCTCTGTTTCTTAATGCCACTAGGACCACCTTGAGAGTCACTCTAGTCCTGTCTTGCAAAGTAACTGTGGAGAGAGCTCTGTTCCTGGCGTCTCTTTAACACTTCCCGAAAATGGCCCAAGACTTTGTCACTGTACATATTTCTCACCTTCTTTACCACAGGCTTGGCACTAGGAGCTTTCTTTGGAGCCATGGTAGCTTATTTAGTAATTGCAAGCACTAAAGTGAGTGGAATATTATGAAATATTTCGTAGGAGCACTTGAGGGAACCTTCACTCACTGGTAAACAATGCCAGACTGGCTGGGTAGGGAGGCCGCCCTGGTTCACACCGTGCGTACGCGTCCCAGATGAACTACTATTCGCGAGTCAACCTATGAAAAGCGAGTCCATGTTTATACGAAAATACCCCTATGATTGGCAAAATTTACGATTGCCGAGAACTACGAAAAGCGAGGGACCACTGTATTAGCATCATATTGAAGCATAATAAACTCGCCTCCCTCTCGCCTCCTACCTGTCTTCCATACACCAACAAGTCTCTTCAATAAAGTGTGATGTTAAATATTCAATTATCCGTATTATTATTGCTTTATATTTATTTGTTATTGCTTTCTGTACGTAAATCTATATTTAATCTTTAAAAAAATGATTTTTTGTTAATACTTTTGGGTGTCTGAAACGGATTAATTAAATTTCCATAATTTCTTATGGGGAAAATGGATTCGCCAATCATGAATTTCGACTTTCATCAGATTCTCTGGAGCGGATTAATTGTGAAATTCGAGGGTCCACTGTACTAATATTTAGTTACAGTAATTATTTGCTTATTTATTTATTCAGTGACAACAGCTACTTATTTATTCAGCATATCATATTCAGCTTAAGATATTTTTGACATATGATCAATTTGTCAGAACATAGCAACAATACAATAAATCCTAAAACTGCAATACAATTTCATTTCTATTGTGAAGTATACAAAATGTAGTTTATATGTAGTATAAAATACTATTAAGCACAATCAGATGTAAGCTTTAAACAGTGTATACTGACCATACAATAGCCCTCGCCTCATGCGTCCAGTAATGCGACCTTCATCACGATCTCTGACTCTCATCTGAGCTTCAGCGGCAGCACGATCGCCCTCGCTCATCATCGAGTACTCAGAGTCGTCGAGGTTGTCACGATCATATACGTCCAACTCGGGAATGTGACGGTAGTCGCTGTGAAATAAATTAGTGTAAATATTCGCCCTGCCTTGGTGGGAGACGGCCGACTTGTTGAAAAAAAAAAATTCATGGGAAAGAATTAAATCAACTTGGAATATATAATATCTGGGGAATGGAAGGTAGTCATTCCTTGGATCCAAGTCATTCAACAACACCAAGGCACCAAGATGACCACCTCTACTAAAGATTTAAGCACAGAGTTCAGTACTCTACCTCTTTATGATGTTCCACATTTTTGCTGGCTTTCAACCGAGTCATTGTTCATTATTATTGGTGCTTTTACCACTCCTCAATCATTTTGGAAAAGCAGCTGTGTAAGGGAAGGGTGACCAGCACCGTATTTTAAAGCAAGTACTGTATGTAGTATATTTATTTTATGTTTTTTATGCCTAGCTGTACTGAGCACTTAATATATGACACTGCAAACACATTATCAGCATTTTAGACACATTTCATAAAGAAAAAAAAAGAAAAAAGGCTATCCACCCATCCATCCACTAGTGATCTTTGCTTATCTATGTTGGTTGGAAAGCTAAGAGCCATGCAAACAGGGCCATCCTGTACTCCAAGTTATCCTGCCCATGTTTATATATACAATGTTCTTTAAGAATGAAAAATCCATTTGTATTGTATAGGGAATCAAATGTTACAGTTTACCCAGCTTAAGGACATCAAAGGTCAGATATAGTCCTATCAAAAATATGAACTATGACCTTTTCAAGATACAAGTTTATTTCTCTGCATACTGTATCAAGTGCATTTTACATATTTTGAACAGTGAACAAGCCACTATAAAATACGTTGTCTATTCAGAACATAACCAACAACTTTCAACTATAAACTTTTGGTAATAACTGCAGATTGTTATACATTTCAAATTTAAATTCAATTTTATTTGTATTAAAAATAAGAAATTCAACAATTTATTAAATAATTGAAGTAACAACTAAATAATAATAATAATAATAATAATAATAATAATAATAATAATAATAATAATAATAATAATAATAATAATAATAATAATACTTACAGATGGAAAAAATTTCTATGATTTAAAATGAAATAAAATACTGGTTAAAAAAATAAGTAATAATATTAATACTGTAGTAGCATTAAAGGCAAGTACAAAATAAATTAGCCCATGGACCACCAACCCAATTATAAAAATATTGTGGACCATTTAACCCGTAAACGGTCCAAGCAGATCTACACTCACATGTGTAGTGCTCCAAAAGTAGATCATTTTTTTTTTTTACACATTTTCAAATGTAAAAAAAAAAGATCTACTTTTTTTACATACTTTCAAATGTTGAAAAAACGTATATATACGTTTGGACCATTTACGGGTTAATTTTTTTGAGTAATGATATATAAAGGCAAAGCAAAGACAACAGACAATTTAACTTGAAATATATCATAAACAGATATTCGAGAAGTTATATTAAATAACAGATATCTCACATTTTGGTCTGAAATATATTTCATACAATTTCCTGGAAATAAATGAACACATACCTAACATTTTGCTGTGAAATTTCTTTCTATAAACATAATTTTGAAATTATTAAATAAACAGCCAACATTTTTTTTAAATATGATTATTTCACTTTTCCTCACAACCAGACTTTTGGATTCTCTTCTCAATGACAAGCTTTTCAATGTGAAGAGTGGTACTTGATAATGTACAACGAATATCGCTTTCAACTGGAAGCTGATTCCTGTTTGGATTTAATGTACAACAAACATGAAAATCCACTTTCACACATGTAAAATGATGCTAATGGCAAAAGAAATTTGACCGCATGTGTTGACAGATTTGGCTAAGTAACCATCATACTGGCCCAAAATTTTTCCATGGTAGACCACTGGTACACATCCTTAGCTGCCAAATCATTATTCGGGTCCAAGAACTCCTGCATAACCTCTGGAACACCATGAATATCTGCTACGAATTGATTCCTTACGAAAGAAAACCCCTCCCTTGTAGTGTCTTCCTTTGGAAATTATCGCTGAAATTCATCCAGCAGCTTTTGTAAATGCTCAAGAATATATGCACCTGAATGGCTTCCTTTTCCCCTAGCATGGCATCCACACATGGAAATTGAACTAAATTTTTACCCTCGACTCATCTGATCCAGAGTTCGAATTTCTTAAGGAAAGCCTCGATTCCTCGGTGAGAGAACAGATTTGCTCCTTCCCCTTGCAGCTGACATCATTAATAAACTCGTCTAAAGAACAAGCAAACCTACATTCAAGTGCAGACACACATGCTGAACAAATAAGTTCTCTCACCAACAAGCTGTCATAAGCTACACAACACTGGAAGTTAAACATGGAAACCCAGTGGAGCGCATGCTTCCAGTATCAAAGGGATATGATTGAACAGTTTAAAAACTGTAGTGTAAAGCACCCTTCTGGCAAGACAGTGATGGAGTGAATGATGGTGAAAGTTTTTCTTTTTCGGGCCACCCTGCCTTGGTGGGAATCGGCCAGTGTGATGATAAAAAAAAAAAATAAATAAAAATAAATGATTGAACAAGACAAGCTCCTAGACTCTGTCATTTTAACCAGCTCTACCTTACCATCAGAAACAAACAATGAGAATTGCACCATCAAAGCACTCCAACTAATAAGAGACGAGATAAAAGTTAACATTAAAACCAGTGATATCAAGGAGGCCCGACTGCTAGGCAAGCCGGGTCAACAACAGTGTTAGGTTAAAATTCAATTCCATTGATGCAAAAAATTATCTAATAAGTTCCTCCATCAATAAACAGAGTAATGTGTACATAAATGAGTGCCTAACTAAAAAAAACATCAGAACATATTATACAGACTTCAAAAACTTAAGTGTGATAATGCATCAATTAAACAGTGCTTTACTTGTGATGGCATTATCGTGGTAAAATTATCAGACACGGGTCGTAGGTTTGAAATAACAAATGATCAAGAACTAACATGTTTCCTCTCATTCATTGGTTTGACTGAACCTTGTTAAGATATATCTCAACACATTATCAACTATGTTCAGTGCTGTAGTATACTAGAATTTACCCTTATTTTAATCCATATTTTCACAACTGTTAGTGAATAACGGTAATTAATTCCCAGCTACTTAAGACACCTAAGGTGCTATTCAAGGTGCTAATCCAGGTACTAAAGTGTTTTATTCTGTCTTATTTTATACTTGAAGCCATAACTTTTAACTTTGAAATAATCAAGGTGCTAAATTGTTTTATTATAATTTTCAGTAGCTCCATTATTTTTTAGATTTAAATTAACTATCTTAGTTCATAAGTTCATAATTGGTAGTGGTTTAACTGTCTTAGTTCATAAGTTCATAATTGTTAGTGGTTTAACATCATTGCTTTGTAACGGCTATTTCTCTATGTACCCCTTATGAATTTAAGTATCGATCCTGATAACCCCTTATTGAACAGCACACATAATCCAAACAGTAATTGCCATTACTACACTGCTAGTCAGGCTGATACCCTTCTCAGTGTCAGCAAGAACATTCCAGTCTTTAACTACAATGTTAGATCATTGAGTAAACACTATGATAACCTCATTGCACTACTCAAGTCTCTAAATGCTACTATAACTTTCATTATACTTACTGAAACCTGGCTCAGACAAGATCTGACAGACATATTTACCATACCTGGTTACACAGCCATACATAAATGCAGGTCCGACCAACCAGGAGGAGGCACTGCCATCTATTACTCTGATGAACTAGAATGTGTGAAATCGACTAATGTACAGGACGAGAACGGTGAATATATAATAGCTAAATTCACATCAAGAACACTTAAGAAACCTATAGCAGTTGGTGGAGTCTACAGACTACCACACTCAAACATGGTAATTGAGTCAGCGTTGAATAAACACCATCTGATACTAGCAGGAGACTTCAACATCAACCTTATCCAAGCACTGACCCTCCAGTAGCTAATTTCACAAATGCTATGAACAACAGCTTATTGCTACCCACTATAACAAAGCCAACAAGAATCTCTGACACAAGTGCCTCGTTACTCAATTATATCTGGACCAACTTAGTATCCCCACTACAAGCAGGTATAATCACAGACAACACCACAGACCACTATCCTACCTTTCCCATAACCAACTTATCTAAACTGCCTCAAGAAACAAGATCTCATTTTGCCTGCATGATGAGACGTTGATAAACAACCTAAAACTAGCTCTAGGTGCCACTGATTGGCAGAGAGAGCTAGATGACAGTAATAATATCGACGAAGATATAAAAAAATTTTTATATAAAACCCTAAAACTCTACAACAATCTTGCCCAATCAAAACGAAACTGATCACAGAAAAGAGGCTAAACAGCCCATGGCTAACTAGAAGTATCCTCAAATCTATTAATAAAAAACACCAAATTGAAAAACAGTTCAGATTAGGCTTAATTACTAAAGAATTTACTAAAAGATACACATCAATACTAACAAAACTAATGCGCAAATCAAAGCAAATGTATTATGAAAACAGATTAAGTGAAATGAAAGGTGACATGAAAAGTACCTGGCAAACCCTCTCCAAAATTTTGGGCTCAAGGAAACCGACTAGAAATAGAAAGATAGACTTAACTAAACCAGATGAACCTCACATGCAACCTATAGACACGGCCGACAAATTTAATGTCTTCTTCTCTACTGTAGGATTAACCCTTTCAGGGTTTCGGCCGTACTAGTACGGCTTACGACCCAGGGTTTTTTTGACGTACTAGTACGCCTAAATTCTAGCGCCCTCAAATCTAGTGAGAGAAAGCTGGTAGGCCTACATATGAAAGAATGGGTCTATGTGGTCAGTGTGCACAGTATAAAAAAAATCCTGCAGCACACAGTGCGTAATGAGAAAAAAAAAACTTGGACCGTGTTTTTGGATTAAAACAGAGACTTTGCACTGTATTTTCCTATGGTATTTATTGTTGTATTCTAGTTTTCTTGGTCTCATTTTATAGAA